AGTGAAAATATTTTATTATTGTAATTTAATAAATAAATATGAATAAAACATTTAATGTATAAATAACTCTAGAATAAAAAGATACAAAATATATGTGTCTTGAAATATCTGATAACAAGCGGTGGAATCTTGTCGAAACGTCGTGTTAAAAAAATAAAGTTATTGTTATCCAGAAAGACTTATATTTTATCTGAGTATGTTTGTCAAATAAACTATGCCGACAGTAAAACAGACATAGACATTTTAATATCCTATTGTGAAAGAAAATCAGACAGCTTTTGACAGAGTTGACAAGCTAAGCCTGTAGCACATAGCACATAGGGACTTCATTATGCCATCCGAACGACCCTTTTCTGGTCAATTATTTGTGAATTTATACCAGAACAGTCGTCGTCGGACAGGAAATCAGAATATTGTAAAGCTAGAAAAGATCGCTCGAATCCTTCTGAAAAGCACCTGTTTATTAAGCAAATGTAGAACTACGATGTAGCTGTTTCAAAATATCAAAATAAAGTCTATCTTCGTTAGGAATTCAAATAGTTGAAACCAATTCTACAACCAACATTTTCTCATCTCGAGTCGAGTCCAGCTTAGATCGAGATTTCACAGACTTCAAACAACAGTTTCTATAAATCCTCGTTCGCAGTCGATACAGAAAATAATAGAAGGAATGGCACAGTGGGGCTGCGACTAATGGTACTATACACACATACAGAGCTGCTTGCACTGGGTTTCCACTGTAGTCCAGGATGGCGTAAATATACGGTTCGTTGTTATAATTGGTGCCACCTTTAGCCCAATAAACCAAGGTAAAAATGGCGTAGAGAATACAGAGAAAAGAAGAATGAAGGAAATGTAAAAATCGGACTGGTTGATGGGATATAAAGGCGTCCAGTACGATAAGTACCAGATTAATACCATGAGTATTTATACTGATGACTGTGGGTCCGATCTCAGCTGAAAATAAAAAAAAATCAAATAAATATTATAATCTTGAAATTTTTGAACAGACAAACGTCTCACTTAAGAGGCAAGTGTACTTACTGAACAGACAAGCGTACTCACTGAACAGATAAGCAAACTCACTGAACAGGCAAGCGTATTCACTGAACAGGCCAGCATACTCATTGAACAGACAAGCGTACTCACTGAACAGTCAATCAAACTCACTGAACAGGCAAGCGTATTCACTGAACAGGCCAGCATACTCATTGAACAGACAAGCGTACATAATGAACAGACAAGCGTACTCACTGAATAGACAACATACTCACTGAACAGACAAGTGTACTTAATGAACAGGCAAGTGTACTTACTGAACAGACAAGCGTACTCACTGAACAGATAAGCAAACTCACTGAACAGGCAAGCGTATTCACTAAACAGGCCAGCATACTCATTGAACAGACAAGTGTATTCACTGAACAGTCAAGCGAACTCACTAAACAGACAAGCATACTCACTGAACAGACAAGCGTACATACTGAACAGACGAGCGTACACACTGAACAGACAAGCGTACACACTGAATAGACAAGCATACTCGCTGAACAGACAAGTGTACTTACTGAACAGGCAAGTGTACTTACTGAACAGGCAAGCGTACTTCACTGAACAGGTGGGCATTCTCACTCAACAAGCAAACGTATTCACTGAACAAGTAACCTTTCTCACTGAACAACCAAGTGTACTCACTAAACAGATAAACAAACTCACTGAACAAACAAGCGAACTCACTGAACCGACAAAGAACAAGCAAGCGTATTCACTGCACAAGTAACCATTCTCACTGAACAAGTAAGCATACTTACTAAACAGACAAGCGTATTCACTGATAGTCAAGCGAGCTCACTGAACAGACAAACGTAGGCAATAAACAGCCAAGCGTACTCGATGAACAAACAAGCGTATTCACTGACAATCAAGTATACTTACGATCATAAACTGACACCCAGAAAATAATACAAATAATAGTCGTTATAGTCGTGGATATATTAAACAGAATCCATTGGAATTTTAAAACAACTGGCAACCATTTACAGTACAGAATACCTTAAATAGATATTACTTTGTAAAACGAGGTTTTAAATGATGTTTGTCGATATTGAAGTCGACGTTTGATATATTAAATAGAATCAATTGAAATATTCAAATAACGGGCATTTATATCATATAACACGCTTTGACACAACGGACAATACAAGGAAGCGATGGAGACGTTCCGGAGATGGCAGAAATTTGATTGGTTAAAGCAGGGTAAGTTCGAAAGGTTATTTTGACGAATATTTAAAAGGTCAGTCCTTAGACCCTAACCGGAGTGGCTATATTAAATCTATAGGGGTTATAACACAAGTACTAGAGTTCGAATGACCACTTACCATCCTCGTCTTTCCAGTATAAGTTATAGCACCAAGCCGTGAATGCTCTCAGTATGGAACTAGCCGTCAGGAGATAGAGGGCCCAGTACGTAAACCAGATATATATCTTATCATCATTATTAACTACAGCTGAGGATATGACTACCAGGGTGAAATAACCAGCTACTAGACAGCGGTAGACAGGATAGACAGCACATTCTCTTCTATACTATAATTATAAACACAATAACTAGCTACTAGACAGCGGTAGACAGGATAGACAGCACATTCTCTTCTGTACTGTAATTATAAATACAATAACTAGCTACTAGACAGCGGTAGACAGGATAAACAGCACATTCTCTTCTATGCTATAATTATAAATACAATAACTAACTACTAGACAGCGGTAGACAGGATAGACAGCACACTCTCTTCTATGCTATAATTATAAACACAATAGCTAGCTACTAGACAGCGGTAGACAGGATAGACAGCACATTATCTTCTATGCTATAATTATAAACACAATAGCTAGCTACTAGACAGCGGTAGACAGTATAGACAGCACATTATCTTCTGTACTATAATCATAAACACAATAGCTAGCTACTAGACAGCGGTAGACAGGATAAACAGCACATTATCTTCTGTACTATAATTATTAACACAATAGCTAGCTACTAGACAGCGGTAGACAGGATAAACAGCACATTCTCTTCTATGCTATAATTATAAACACAATAGCTAGCTACTGGACAGCGGTAGACAGGATAGACAGCACATTATCTTCTGTACTATAATTATAAACACAATAGCTAGCTACTAGACAGCGGTAGACAGGATAAACAGCACATTCTCTTCTATGCTATAATTATAAACACAATAACCAGCTACTAGACAGCGGTAGACAGGATAGACAGCACATTATCTTCTGTACTATAATTATAAACACAATAGCTAGCTACTAGACAGCGGTAGACAGGATAAACAGCACATTCTCTTCTATGCTATAATTATAAACACAATAGCTAGCTACTAGACAGCGGTAGACAGGATAGACAGCACATTATCTTCTATGCTATAATTATAAATACAATAGCTAGCTACTAGACAGCGGTAGACAGGATAGACAGC